GCACTCCCACTGCTGACCGCCTACAGGAGTCCCCAGGCAAACTGACTTCAAGGATTCACATTTCCAGGCTGAAACCGGCCCCACCTCCGATCGAGGTAGCCCAGGCTGACCGTCCACCATCGTCTTCCCACAAATACATCTGCTCCACCACATCTGAGAATCTTTTAAAGCTTCACATCTCATGCCTGAGGGTAAAATTTCCCGTTCCTGAGGAGGACCTTCCTCAACCTGAGAAACCCTCACAATAACATGCCTCACTCTAGTTCCACCCTTCTCTTTGCCACCCTCCTGGCATCCACTTCCCTCACACCTACTTCATCTGCTTCGACAGACATCCCAGATTGCCCCAATAATTGGGATTTTCTTGTTTTGTGCCTTTCTATCATGTATTGTAAATTCCTGCAGAATCAAATAGGCAAAATATCTAATCAGACCTTTAACCAGCCTCTTCTCAGGGATTACCAGCTATTTGCTACTTCGGAGGACACCTATCCCTTATGTGAAGGCCTCACCAACGGCTGACGGAACTTCACCATCGTGGACATGGAGCTACAAAACGTAACATGACTGGGGAACTTCACTAGCCTGTCTACCAAGGGTTTCTAGGCCATTCGCTCTTGTGTGCCTCCTCCTGACCGCTGGTCTTTTCTCAGCCAGTCCCTCTCACTGGACTTCTGGCCAGAAGCTAATGTGGTGTTTCCTCTCCCCTCTTCTTCTCCTTGCCTTTGGGTATCTTTGGTGTTTTTAGGCTCATCATGTGGCGCACCTGGTTCGTGGAGGCCCTCCAACAGGACAGCTGGCTGATTCCCCCCATTTACAGGGACAAGGATTGGATTGGAGCCAATCCACCACCTATGGCTTTGAGGAACTTTCATCGATTTCAGCCCCAAGGAAATTCACATCTTCAGCGCCCTGGCCTTCACAGCTATGCTTCTCTTGTCGATTTATGTATCTATACTGACTGCCTGTCTAATTCTGGCTTCACTGGCAGCACATGAAAATGAGGCACTTTTCCTGATCATTTGTAATTTCCAGTTGTAGACTACTGGTCAATCTACAAACTGACTTGAGAGAGAAACTCCCACCGGAGTGATGGAAAAGAAGTTGTCTCCTGCGTCCGAGAAAAACTGTTCATTTTCCTAAGGACGTCTCCCTAAACTTGAGCTGCATTACGGTCCAGAAAACTGGCTCTCATCACCCTCCTTTGCCAAAGTTATTTCTGGCCTTCTTTGGCAAAGTGCTAGGGTCCCAGTTTGCCCTATGCTTGAGACCCTTGGAGGATTCAGACTTAAGGGCATTACTGCTTTCCATCCTTCCACTATAACTTCTGATTATGATAAAAGAAAAAATTATATGTCTTCACCTTTGTGTCTATTTGTTGTACTGTAGACTAAAGGAATCTCTGGAAGATAAGGGGGAGATCTACTGATTGTTAGGTGCATAACAAATACCCTTTTCCTGGAGGAGTTTATGGAAGGGGTTGGTTAAAATAGAGCGCCTCCCTCTTGTAGCATTAAAAAACAAAAACATTGAGTTCATCTGAGGACAGGAACAGTCATGCGAGATTTTAAACAGGCTTGTGAAGGCTAACTATGTGAACCAAGGGAATCTGGGTACTTTTTACTAATCATCCCATGCCTTTATTTCAGTCCTACAGTCTGAATGGCTAATGTCTGATCCAGGAGGCTCCTGGAGGAACAGGTGCAGGGGTGGAGTGCAAGAGAGTGTTGTGCGGCTTATACAAAGGCGAGTTGTTATTAGCCTTTCCTCTCAGTGACTTTTATCAACCAGTCACCCTGGATACTTAGGGCAATGGGAGTGGGGTCGGAGAAGGAACATTTGAATTTCACCCAAGAGTGGCCCAGGCTAGAATTCTGCAGTTGCTCCTGTTCTTTTATCCATCTCCAAGCATCCAAGGGTAGACCAGATCTAGAGATGCTGTATACTTATGCCAATCGCTCTCAGGCCTGGGTAGAAAAGTAGGAAGTGGCTTTGGCAGGACCCAACATGCCTGCTCTGCACAGAACAGGTGATTGGGAGCCGCCTAGGTCAGCAAACCTTTCACCCAAGTCTTGAAGCATGGCGGCTGTACTAACTGCATTTAAGTAACCAACAGGTGCCCACTAGCATCCTCCAGAAAGAAAGAGACAGAAAGATGCACCTCAAACAGATGTCGGGTGCATGGAGAGGAGCTTACCTTGGTGTAGATCTTGGTGTGACCTCCAAATATGATACTGCAGGTCACCAGTGATGAGTTCTCCTATCTCACATGTTAAAAGTTTAAACATTAGAGAAGCACACCGAGGCAAGCATATAAAGCAGGGCTTATTTCAAAAGAGGTAACACAGCCTTCTCCTGGGAGGGAGAAGGGAGCCATAGCTGGTATCCTGGTATCCTAAGAAGTGAGACATTCTGCTCTCTTTTTTTTTTTTTTTTTTTAACATTGTAGGTTTCCTTGGTTCTCCTGCTCTCTTCCCCTTATCTCTCCTTCCTGAGTACGTATGACTGGGCCCAGGAGATGCTTGGTGGGATGGCCAAAAGGTGAGCCCAAAAGGTGAGAAGCAGATGGACTGGGGAAGGGCCAGATGGAGCACCCCAGGACACATTAATTAACAACTTTATAACTCCCTGTAGGGAGAGGCAATTCCTGGGACAGGTTACCTTAGCAATATGTTGGAGTAGGGGCAGATTACCCTGATAAGGCCTATCTAATTCTGGCTTCAAGAGATAAGAGGAAGAAGGGAAGACCCTCAGAGAGCAGGATGAAATGCAAGGTCCAAGGGCCTGTGGAGTGGGGAAGTCTGGTAGACTCTGGCTTCGAAAATCTCTGCGAAGAAGGGCAGGGGAGAAATTGAGTCTTAAGTAAGGATCAGGTCAGGACTGACCAAGGTGAGAACTGACAGAAGCTGGAGGGACGTGAGCTCTTGCCCAACGGGGTGGCAGGTTCCAAGGCAGGAATTCAGCGATGGATTTTCTAACTACCTTCCCCTCATTTGTTCTCTACTCTGCTCTGGAACCTGAAGACTGAACTCTGAGGGCTGTGTCACCTAGCCATCGGGCAGCACTGGCAGGTGACAGGGTGCAAGAGGTAGGACTGGGCTTTCTCCTTGCCCAATTCCCCAACGTCCCTCAATAGTCAAAACTGCTACCTCGTGACCCCATGTCCACACCTCCAGTTTTCCCCTGACTCAACAACATCCTACTCTATCCTTTCCTTCAAGCATAAGGGTGGCAAAGGCTGCCAGACTGTGGTACCTCCACATTCCATTGCTTCCTTTTACCTGGTGATGCCACTGCTCTTGGTTAATTGTTAATTATCCTACTTCCCCTTATTTGGAACTCTCCTGGGATGAAGGTTGCTCCTCTTGAACTTGACAAGTCAGGTAGGGTGGGGAAAGGTTTTAAGCCGGAAGTACAGGTTCAAAAGCTTAGATACCCATAAGACCAGATAGAGGGTGCCACCTGGAGAAAGGTGGTGGGGAATGGTGGGTGCCAAGAATGGCCGTGCCTTGCAAAGTATAGGCCCTATATTGCCAGAACTTGGGAGTTTTCTCTTTGTTGTTTTTTTTGGTACCAGGGATTGAACTCAGGAACACTCAACCAATGAGCCACATCCCCAACCCTATTTTGTATTTTATTTAGAGACAGGGTCTCACTGAGTTGCTTAGCACCTTGCCATTGCTGAAGCTGGCTTTGAACTCACAATCCTCCTGCCTCAGCCTCCCCAGCCGCTGGGATTACAGGTGTGTGTCACAGCCCAGCCACTTTGTTTTAAAATGGAAGTCAATTATAAATTGTTAATTTAAAAACATCATGAGCCAAGTAGTCATAGCAAGGAATCAGATTCAGCTGGAAAGTGGCCAAGTGTGCTCTGGGAAGGGCAGGGCTTTGGGGCTGCTGCACTCCTCCCTTTCTGAGAGGTCTGAATGCTTCTCAAGTTCCAGAAGCTCTGCAGCCAGGGGCTGAGGTTCTCGAGTGGACCTAAGTTATGTCAGGCAGGAGTGAAGCTCCTCTGTTCCCCAGCGGTTGCTGCCTTGCCTCGAGGGTCCAAGGCGGGGCTCATCACAGAATGTACTAAGAATATTGGTACATGTGAGAAGGGAGCGGGGAAAGGAGCCTAGTCCACACCATTCCAGGCTGAAAAGAGCCCCGAATCTCTGTGGGAGCCAGAGCTCACCATCACACCCCAGCTCTGAGGCAGGTTTTGGGATGGAGTGAAATGCTTGCTGAATCCAGGTTTTGGGATCCCCACACCTATGACTTCGGCCTCCTCGTGGACTGCCCTGTATTTCCCATGGTCCTGACCACATGTTCCTTCAAGTGTAGCCTCTGCAACCCCAGGAGCTTCCTGAATACTGATGCCACGATTCATTGGACCCCTTAGTCCCTGACCCACAGCCCCTCACACTGACACTAGTGGCCTAGGAAGGGGGTGTAATGGACATGTGGGCACCTGGTCCACCTGTTCCAGTCCTGCTCTTCCATCGCTCAAGAGACCGACTATCCCTGCCTTTGTCAGGGTCTAGCAACACGCACGCCAACCCGACGGCCCCACAGGGTCAGCGCCTTCCTTCCCAATCGCGGAGTCCCCTGGACTTGTGGGACGGGCCCAGCGCGGGTCTGGGCACTCAGCAGGGGCTCCCTGGATATTGGATGGATGAGGCTGGCCGGGTTGGACGCGCAGAGGATGCTCGGAGGGCTGGACCTCGTGGGCGTACCCAGGAGTGGCATTGGGGTTTCGCGCTGGCCGAGTCGTGGGTGCCCGGGAGCCTCTGAAGCGCGCACCGCCCCCGCGCCCGGCCAGAGCACAGCAGCACAGGCTCCTTTGGATCCCCGACCGCGCGCCGGAGAGCTCCGCGTGACCGGAAGTGCCTCCCCCGTGGGCACGGACGGGGCGGGGCCGGCGGGCGGCACTTCCGGTGCCCACGCGCCGCCGCCGCTGCCGCCGCCGCCGCCGCGCAGCTCGCGGCCGTCACTTTGTGTAAAGCGGCCCCGGCGGCCCGCAGGCCCCGGTCCCGCGATCCGCCCGCGGCTCGGCCGGCCCGGCGCGCGGTGAGTGGGTCGCGCGGGCGGCCGTGGCACGGGCGGCGCGGGCTGGTCTGCTCGTGCTGGGGGCAGCAAGGGGCGGGCCGCCCTCCCTCGAAGCCCGGCGCTGGAGGCCTGGCGGGGCCGTGGGGCTGCCGCGGCCCTCGGGGCCAGGGCCTGGCGGGACGCAGCCGCAGCCGCAGCCGCGCGACCGACCTTCCTCTGCAGCGCCCACGCCCCGCGAGGCCCGCGGACTCTCGCCCGGGCCTGCGCGTCACGGGAGGGCTCCGACCCTCAGGGCAGGTCCAGGCAGGCACCACGGAGGGGGCGGGCTGGGGAGGACACGCGCGACACCACAGGAGGTATCCACGCCTCCTCTGCTGTGGTGGCGAAGGCTGGGCCGCGGCCGCCCCCGCCCCCGGGGACACACCCATCCAGAAGGGGCTGTCATAGGAATGGCTTCTTGGAGAGATGTAGGTCCGATTAGCCCCCTGGAGGGCGGGGTGGAAGCAACTTGTTCTGGTGCCCCAGCCTGCTTTGTGACCTTGGGGGGGGCGGGCGTCTCTGATCTTTCCCTTATCTGCAAATGGAGGCCCGCTGGGCTGCTATGCTAAGACGCCCGTTGCCAGTAGGTGGGTAGGGGACCTCATTCCCGAGGGTGGGTAGGTGTGGGATGGAATCTGGGGTGTCCCTGTGGCCACAGAAGTGGGAGTGGGGCTGGCGTTTGGTGGAAGTCAAGATGAACTGGGGGAACGGGAGGTATAGGTACCCAGTGGACCAGCCCCCTACCTCTTCCTGTGTAGAGTAACATTGGCACTTGGTTTGGCCCAACAAGTATTGGCAGGTCTGGGGAACTGGCTGGCTTGGCCAGGGGCCTGGGATGGTCCCCATGTATACACCTGCATCAGGAGCAAGGAGGTGGGGGTTGCTAAAATCCATGGACAGACGATGAGGTTGGTGGCAGCCATCTTCCTGACAGATCAGAAGACCTCACTGGCCCCAACATCAGTGTGGCTACCCAGAGGGAAAGAGGTTGACTAGTTCAAGTGCACCATGCATCTCCCACACGTGGATTTCCTTGTCTTTGGGACTTTTGTGGAGTTTTTTTTTTTTTTTTTCCTAATTAGTTTTCAAACTTTTCTCCTTCTTGCAGGAGGCATCACCCCCAATTCTAAAAGTCTATGGCAACATATCCTACCTAGGGTGCAGGGCCCTAGTGGAACTGAGTGACCAAGAAATGAAGCTTTTTATCTGGCCTTTGTGGTTTCTGACCTGGGATCAGAGGTCAAGGAGAAGTGAGCAAAATGAGTTTTCAGAGGGCTGGTGGGCTAGAGGAGGAGGTGAGAGTGTGGGTCTGAGGAGACAGGGAGCAACCAGGGTGGAGCTGCAGGAGTGTAAACTGACCCACCCCTGAGTTCCACTCTGTTCTGAATCCTGGGTCAGGGCACAAGGGGTGTCTGGCTCTGCTGGGCATCAGGCTTGTCTGCTCAGGGTCCCTACACCTCTGCAAGAGTTGGATTTCTCTCTCCTCTGGTCACTAGTGGATGGACTTCTTGGGAGAAGGAACTTTACCTGCTATCCTCTTTGTAGGCAGAGACTCTGCTGCTTCTGGGGTTTGTTCTATCTCAGAGAACCTCTCCTCCCCCAGTGTGGTTAACCTGTTCTGGAACATGACAGTAAGCTCAAACACTGAGCTTTAAAAATTCTGTTTTATCACATTAATGATGGATTTTGGGGTCACTTCCTCAGTAAATACTGGAGTGCTTATTCTGTCTGGAATGGCGGGATTCAGAGAGGAGCAAAGGGAGCTCCTGCTGTTCCTCAGTTGACTGCTCTCAGGTAAAGAAAATGTGGGTGCTGCCAGGGACAAGAACAGAACTGTGCTCAACAGTGGCCCAGGGTGGAAGATCATCAGAGAAGGGGGAAGAGAGTTCTAAGAAAAGAGGGTGGCACATGTAAAGGTCCTGAGGTGGTGAGTGTGGGACTTGTGTATTCCCAAGCCACGGGCTCTCTTCTTTTGTTGAGTCTCCATATATAACGACCTGGCCTGGAGGAGTCTGAAGTTGTTGCTCCAGGTGGTGATCTGGTAGGAGATGCTGTGCTGGTGCTTATATACTTAGCTTGATTTTACCACCTGAGACCTAAGTGAGAAAAGCCCTCTCTGGGTGTGAGGTGGGTGGCATTTGGGAAACCACTGCTGAGTGTTCTCAGTGTGAGCACCCCACCAGGGCAAGGTGTGCACATGTGGTCCTATGTTTAAGGCAACTTTCAACACCAGGGAGCCAGAGAGATGAGGGCTGGGTTCTAGGAGAAGCAGGATGCTGGACTGGCCCTCCAGTGTCTAGTTCTGAGACCTGGGTGGGTGGGGTAGAGATTTTGAATCTAGTGTGGGGGAACCAGTGAAGAGGGAGTACAACCATCAGGAGAGAGATGGTCTTTGGATGCTAGGGGACCCAGCCCCCAGACTTCAGCAGACCTGCAAAGATACTATGGCCATTGAACTATAGGTTTTAAAACAGCTGTTCAAAGCAGTTTGGAAAACGAGTAGATGCTGCTGGAATAAAAGGGAAAGGATGTGGAGTAAGAGTCAGTCTCTGAGCAGTTTTCCCATGTGTGCCTATGGAACAGTGTTCTCGTGACTCTGGGCAATTTTACACAGTGTGGTTTAGGTGTTCTGCTGTGGTAGAGCTGGATGAGCTGGGGTGGACCCAATGTCTAGTGTGGCCACATGGCCTGATATTTTGGGATCTTTCTGGGACTCATGCCTTCATCCCCCTCAGGATTCTGGGTTGGACTAGGTTGCTTTGAAAATGGCCCTGTTCAGATCTCAGACACTCATGAGGCAGGTGCTGAGTGACAGACCCAGTCTCAGGTTCATACCCTAAAAGGAGCCACAGAAACCAATTTATCCAAACTGTGACTGTCCTGACCTGGTGAATGTGCAACTGTAAAGGAAGAGTGGTCCCAGGGCTCCCAAATTCCCATCTCCCTGAGCAAACCCACCTATGACATCTGTGGGAAAGCAGAATCTTGGCCTCTAGGGTTTTGGCATTTTATTCCTTAAGATTTTATGACACCTAAGCTTAAAGAATAGGGGGTCACAGAAMATTTTGTATTGCCTGTGCTGGCCCACTGATGAGCCTAACTCCATGGCCCACTTAACCTTTCCCAAATGCCTTGGACAGTGAGAGGAAAGGACAAAGGAGAGGGCAATGCCTACTCATGGCCCTTTATCTCCCACAACAGGACAGAGTCTGATCTGCTGGCTTCTCGCTGCTGATCTCACCTTTCACCTGAAGAGGCCAGTGAATCTCTCATCCTCTCCTCCCACCCATTGAGTCTCCCAAGTGTCCACAATCTGGTTGTGCTTGGGCCCCGCCTCTGACATTCTCTGCTGGCCTGGTTCATGTATGCTGAAGACTGGGTAAGTATCTGTTCTCTGTATCACATGGGCTGTTTCTTGTAGACCACCTTTAGGCTGTGTTGCCTGGATTCAATGCTTCTCATCCTTGAGAATAAAGATTTAGGATAAATACTTGACTCACTCCAAAACTGGTAGTAGCTCATACCAAATGGTGAGAAAGTGGAGGCCATGTTTCAGGGGCTATTCAGGCAGCCTTTCTGGGTGCAGAATGTGCTGGTTGCTCAGCATAAGATGGTAGGTAGAGCCCCGATTCTCCCTCAGCTCTAGTGACTTCACCTACGTCTCCTGCCTTTATTTCAGGCTGCGTGAAGACCTTGCTTACAGGGAAGATGGCAGCTCTTCATACAACTCCAGATTCCCCAGCTACCCAGCTGGAGAGGGTAGAGGATGGGTCAGAGTGTGATTTTGACCAGGAGGAGGAAGAGGAAGAAGAAAAAGGGAAAGAGGAGGAGGTGGAGGAGGAGGAGGAGGAGGAAGAAATAGTAGTGGAAGAGGAAGAAGAGGAGGACATGGCAGAGGTGGTGGAGGAGGAGCAGGTGCAGGAGGTGGCAGAGGTGGAGGTGGAGGCAGAGTTGGAGGAAGAAGATGACGATGATAACGACACGGAGGAGGTGATGGCAGAGGAGCAGAGTCCAGGGTTGGGGACCCCTGAGTGTCTTAACCATGGTGGTGATGCCAAGTCCCCAGTTCTTCAGGAAAAGGGTAAGAAAAAGCCAATCCTTGGGGGTGGAAGTGAAAAGGGCTGGTGTGGGCCATGCCAGGGACTTGGCCGTGCCAGAGAGTGCTCTGCGGCCCCCTAGGGTAGAGCTGGAGCTGGAGTGGCAGGGGCTAGGTTTTGAAATGTGGGAGTAGCTAGGAGCTCTAGCCTTGCTTTCTGACTGGGCAGCAGTTGACTGAGTGACCAGACTAGGTATTCATGGACAGCTGACTCCTAAGAGGTTTTCCCCACAGCCCTGCAGGCTTCCCAGGTTACTGCTCAGGATGAGGATCTGGAGGAGGAAGAGGAAGAGGAGGAGGAGGAGGAAGAAGAAGATGAGGATGATTTTCTTACAGCTGGGTCTCAGGTGAGCTTCTCTCACTCACCTGGAACTTGGGTAACCTGGGCAGGGTTTCCTCAGGCGGGCTTTACACRTTAAGTCCTGAAGACCTCGAAGCAGTGGCAGTGGGATCCTCAGGTAGGGCCCAGGCTCTAGCCAGGACAGGGCTGCAGGTCTCAGGCCCAGGGGATATGGTTCTGCTTTCCTAGGGTGTGGCCCTTTCTAGGCTGCTGGGTTGTCCTGAATGTTTCAGTAGGCATTCGCTTATCTGCACTGTGCATGGTGACTTCAGAGGCCTGGCTGTTCCCCAAAGTCAGATAGTTCCCTTTACCTGGAGTACCTGTCTCCTACTGAGGGTCTGCTTTCCTGCTGCCCAGTGGGATCAATCACTGGTGCCCACATAGTTTAGTTGGTGCCACTTGTCTGCTCAAGAGTGGACCTTCACACTGTTGATGTTGCCACAGAATTTGCTTGTGAATAGGGGCTAYAGGACTTGTTGTCTCCTCACCTTGATGTGAGTCTCGTTTTTGTACCCTGTGAGCTGGATCCTCCACCCTCTCTGAACCCAAGTCCCTGGTCTCTAGATGGGATCAGGACCCTACCTTCCAGGGCCAGGGTGTAGCCTGAAAGCCTTTAGTATTTCTGGGCATCTGTAGACCCAGTAATGCATGGGATGCTGACTATGTCCCATTGAGATCCATGTTTTAGGGCTTTAGTATGTTCTCTCTGACTTTATCATGTGGGCTGTGTGGGGGCTCTCTCAGCTTCTAACCAGGGCAGTGTCTGGGGCTGTTTTTTCCAGGGACTGGTGACCTTTGAAGATGTGGCTGTGTACTTCTCTCTGGAGGAGTGGGAGAGGCTGGATGCAGACCAGCGGAGYCTCTACCAGGAAGTAATGCAGGAGAACTATGGGATCTTGGTGTCCTTAGGTAAGGAAGGCCTTTTGTTCCTTATAGGCACCCTCCTACAATGACTGCAAAGGGCTTAGTTGTCTGAGGGGGTGCTTCTTGAGACTCAGGGTCTTGGAGCAGGGAGGTGCTGGGTCTAGCCTACTCCCAGGAACCTCGGGACCACTGTGGCCTCTGGTAGAGGTCAGTTGGGTGTCTGAGCCAGGGCGCTGTGTGTTATGGAGCTTCCAATCCTGCTCTGGGYGCTGTGCTTCTTGGCCCTAGAAACTTTGACGGGAGAAGGCAGGTGAGGGCATCCTGCAGGTGAAGGTATATGGGGCAGGGCTTGGTGGGAGGAGAGGAGGTTGGTGAGGGTGGGGTATGAATGGAGGGATGCACAATCTCCTCGAGCAGTGTGAGGTAGGGAGGGCTGGTCTTGGAAAGGATGGAGGAAAGGAGAGGGTCTGTTCATGGATAGGAACAGCTGCTCTGCAGCTGCCATCTGTTTCTCTCCTGGGCAGGATACCCAATCCCCAAGCCAGATCTGATCTTCCACCTAGAACAAGGGGAAGAACCTTGGGTCCCAGATAGCCCTCACCCTGAGGAGGGAGATATTGTCACTGGTGTCTACACAGGTGAGTATGAGATGGAATTTTGTGGGGTTTCTGCCAACACAGCTGCTCAGAGCTGATGTCTTTACCTTAGGTCTCTGCAGACCTGGTATCTGGTTCCACTGCTGCCTTTGACAGTTTTAGTGCTGACTATCTGGAGTGTGGGGTGGGTTCCATGGAGATAGAGCACTCACTGTGTACTAAGCTCTGCTCTGCTTGGGTCCTTTTGGTTCAATTCCACAGAAGCCCAATAGCTGGAAGGTTCTTAGAGAACCTTAAAAATGATCCCTCTCCCTACCATGGAACCTGGGATTATTATTGTTATTTTTAATGTTTTTTACTTTTGGTACTTGAAGACAGTGGTCAGGACTTCGGCTCAGAGCTGAGGCTATGTTCTAGGAGCCTAGCAGAATGTTAGTGCAGCCTTTCTAATGCTGAGACTTTCGTCAGTCCTCTGGCTTCTCCACCTATTTAACCATTTCTGCAAAAAAGTCCCCCTCAGCCTTCTCTGTCCCGCCAAAAGTCCTAGGCAGACTTCTGTTCTGAGTGGGCAGCTTGGGGCCTTCTGGAGAAGAGATTTTGGAGTGGTGTGTAAAGAAGACGTTTGGGGTGGTAAGTTTCTCTGGAGGCCTTGGACCTAGCTCTGGCTCCATTCCTTCAACTCTCTGAGCCCTCCTTTATTCATATGGAGAATAAAGAATATGAACCAAACCCATGGTTTCCAACCTGAGCATTGGAACTCTTGGTTGTGTTGAGGTCCAGTGGAATCACAGTCACTTTCAGTGTTCAAAGTGTGCAGTGGAGGCTTTTGCCCCACGGGCATCTGTGGCTTGAGCTGTGGGTATGTCAGCGCAGAAAAGGCTCTGAGTAGACCTGGAGCAGCCATACAGGTATTATACAGAAAAACACTGTAGTAACATTACACATGTCCTTATCAGAGCATCCTCACTTGCAATGTCATCTTTGTGACAGCTCTGGGCTGTGCAGGACAAGGAGGGCTTGTCAGCCTCCCTTTAGACAAGGAAATTGGTTTTTCAAGAGCTTGGTAGGTAGTGAGGCCTCGGGCTCTGTCTACAGTACCCCTTCACTGCCAGGTACCCTTCTACTGAGTCTCCAGGTTCTTGGGACYCTCTTGGGATCTTTCCTGGGCTTCAGAATTGGGTGTCTGAGCCAGTGCTCAGACAGTGCAAAAAACAGTGCTGCTTCCCTGGGATGAAGGGTTTGCTTCCTCATTTCTAGTCCAGTGCTTGGTAAAAACAGGCACTGTGTCTCATTGAGCCACCTGTGTCCATGGCATTCAGAATGGGTGTGGTGAGATTGATGGCAGCTTCCAGCAGCCTCCAGGTGCTGTGCCAGCCAGACCAAGCCTGGCACCATGGGGGTCCCAGAGGGCCAGCTGATGACTCCCACCCTCTCGGCAGCTGGCTTCTGCCCCTCTTCTGAAAGTGAAGGACAGAAGAGAAATACAAGACCCAGGATTGAACCAGCTTAATCATTACTCAGGAAAGGACAGAGATGAAGTTTAAAAGGCAGCAAGAGGTAGAGACACACATTAAGGTGAGAAAATCCAGTGATCAGCAAATACTGCCCAGCTGTTCTGGAGTCTGAATATGGCTGCCCCCAATAGATAGAGGCACAGCTGTTCCCCTCCCTCACCCACAGCAGGCAGAGACTGGCACCAGGCTGCTGGGGGTTCTGCTCACACCGCTGTGAGCACCTAAGGAGACCTCAGAGGCCAGTCCATTAGGTTTCACATAGCCATGCCCCAGAGGGGACCTTGGCTATCACTGAACTCCCCTTTCTTACTTCCATCGAGGCAGCTTGGGTCTTATCTTGCCCTAGACCCCTGGGCTTGGTGCAGAGGAAGGAAAGGAGTGCAGGGACACCCTGGCAAAGAGGCAGCCTTTTTAGTGCCTGGAACAAGGGGCTGGTTCAGGTTTCCAGGTGCTGGAGACTCTGACTGGGGTGGGGATAGGAGGGTGTAGTGAGAGGAAGGTAGGCCTGTCCCCTGACCTGGGAGTGCTTTTGTTTTCTGAAATCGTTTTGAGGTGGGCCAGGCCTTGGTACCATAACCACACATAATCTGTGAAGGAATTGAGGCCATAGAGGTCACTGGCATTTCTCAGGTCACTCACCAGTGACAAGGAATGGCCTATCAGAGGAAGACCACTTGCTCACAGGCCTGTCGCCCTGGCCAAGAGGACAGATCCCAGTTGGAAGCCTGGCTGCCTTCCCAAGTTTGAGCTGATGAGCTAGGCTGAGGCTGATGTCTCTGATGTCCTCCCCCAACTAGGAGGGGAGGYTGCTGATGCCCACGAACCTGGCCATTTCATCCTCATGTACCTTGTTCCTMGTACTACTTCTGACAGTGGCAGGGGCTCTTGAGCCCAGCTTGAGTTTCTGTGTCTGGATAAAGTTTTGCAGGGTGGGGGTGGGGGTGAGCAAGAGCAGGTACTGATCTTATTCAGGGAATTTGGGAAGGGTAATCTGAAGGACAGAAGCCCATAGCTTTGCCTTTTCCCAAGGCCAGACCAGCTTAGGCCAGGAGATAGGTTTCCTGGCCAGTGTGTTTGGGTGTTCTGAGTGTCCCTTAGCTACCTCTGTAGCAGCTGGAGGCATATTCCCTTGCCCTGTGCCCAGAGCACTTCCTAGAGGTATCTGGGGGTTTCTGCCATTGGGTCACCAGACATCAGAGCGTGAGAGCCAGCTTCTTGCAGCTGGTGCAGGGCCTGGGCAGAGCAAGGGAGCCTGCTGCTGTCTGGGTTCTGGGTAAACCTTGGTCTTCATGAAGTGCAGGATCACCTTTACTGTCTTCAGAGGTCTCCAGGCCTGCAGAGTACCAAGTGCTAGTGACAGGGTAGCTCCAAGACAGCTCATACCTCAGCCCTGGAGCCTCTCCTATCCCTTTGCCACCTTGCCCTGTTGGAGAGGAGAACTTGCCTGCCCAGGTGCACAGGGCTAGTTAGTAACCTGTCTGGAGTTAGGKATTGGGACCCAGCCTTCTAGCAATCTGTAGCTCTGTGTGCCTGGCAGTAGAAAAGGGACACAGCCTAACAGCCCARTATTTGAGAGAACAGAGTCTCAACAACAGGGAAGACAAAGAATAAACAGCAAGGGGGAAGCCTTGGAGAATCAACAATGACACATGGCAGGGGTGGCACCTGTGTCCAGTTGTGATGCCTATGTAGCATGGCTACATGTACTTTATAGCTGTTTACTTTTTTAACCCTTGCAGCATTACCTCAAAATGAGATTACAGATGAGGAAACTGAAGTTAAATGACTTGCCCCAGGTCCCACGTACAAATGGGTTTGGGACCCCAGCAGAGCTGGTTCCCTTGGCTGCCCCTCAAGAGACAGCAGGGGAGATGTGGTAAAGGGGCATCAACCTATAGGAGAAGACCTGCCATGGAGCGTGAAGTGGTGAGACAATGCTAAGATCTGTAAGAACCCAGTGTGTTCAGCTCTGAAGGGGAGCCCGACATTGTCCAACAGGACTTTTTTTAGGGGGGAGGGGAGTTCAACTTGGGGGTGCTCAACCACTAAGCCACATCCCCAGCTCTTTTTTGTATTTTACTTAGAGACAGGGTCTCACTGAGTTGCTGAGCCCCTTAAGCTGCTGGGATCACAGGCGAGCGCCACCATGCCTGGCTCCAGAAGGACTTTTTAGAAAGCATCTGTGACTAGATGCTGGGAGGAAGGTGGGAGAAATGATGGTGACAACCCACAGTCCTGGGGTTTTTCATTCATTCTCTTGACATCCACCTGTGAAGGGGCCTTCTTTAGATTGCCTGCCCCAGCTCCTGTCACCTAATATTCCTGGTAGGCCAGAAACCTGTTTTCACTGTGTTTGACATAGATTATGAAAGTGTCCTTGTGGCCAAGCTCTGGTAGGTTCTCCCTTCCTAGATAGCTGACTTTGATCCCTGATCTGCTGGTGCATTTTAGTTTAACTCCTGTGGTCCCTCAGGTTCTTCCCAGAGGCCTAGCTAATTATCACCCAAGGTCAGATCCTGGGAGTAGGTGTTAGGTGCAAGAAGGTGAAGTGCCAGCTCCAATCCACAGAGCTTCTCTACTCTCTCCTGTAGTTCTGGATGAAGTAGCCATGCTCAATCCTCAGGGTCATTGTTGGATCACTGCCTGTCTCATTGTCCTCCAGCTATTGAGGAACACACCCCATATACTTTCTTATTTGAGTGACTTGTCTGCCCCTGTTGGGGTCTGACAAGTAGAGCTGATGAATCCTCACCTGGATCTATAAAGAGCTTTTGGGTCTTAAAGCTAGAAAACACCCTGCAAACTCTGTCCCTGGAGTGACTGTTACACTGGACTTCCCCATTCCAGGGCCAAAATCTCTAGACCTTATGCCACTTTAACAGCAGAAAGTAAAGAGAACAGAGCCTGGTCTTGGGGTCTGCTAGTCTCGGAATTCCCCAGGTTCCCTCCCAATGGCCTGATACTTCCTAGATCTCCGGTGCAGCCAGCTTCAAATTTCCTGGGATTCAGATGCCCTTCCCCCTGCTCACTGAGTGTAGTGGTGGCCTGCAACACCTTGCTGAGTGTTTAGGTATGGCCTCACCACTTGTCCCTGCTGTTGGACAAGTACCCATGCCAGCTCCAGAGGTAATGGTGAGCTCCCCCAAGTATCTGTCAGGATTGGTCCACTCTACAGAACCAGGTGGGGTGGATGGGTAGGGGCTCATCTTCCTGGACCAGCAGGCATTCCTCTTGCTCTTGGACTCTGGGGAAAGGTGCTAATAGAGAACCCTCCCTGTTCCTGGCAGTGAGGTGGTTCTCGCTGGCCCTGGTGTCCAGCTCTTTGAGGCTTATTAATGAAGCAAAAGGTCATTGATCCTCAATAGGTTCTGATGGTGGACTAATCCATGCAAAAATCTGTCAAGAAATTGTATTTGTTCAATTGTGAATTTTCCCTGTTAGGGGGCTCTGATTAGAAACTACTCAAGACTCTTATCAGAGCCAAAGGGAAAAGGCTTTTGATCTGACCGGCCCAGATTGCCTGTCTTCCAGCAGCTCATCCCTGCCCTAAGGTGTGTGTGCTCCAGCCTTCTCAGATTTGGGGAAGAGTTGCTGCCAAAGAAGAGCACCCAGTGAAAAGGAACAGGGACTTTTTTTTTTTTTTTTTTTTTTTTTTGCCATACAGGACACACTTGTCATTCAGTGGGTATAAGTGGCAGTTAGTGGTGAACTCAGGCTAATGATAAACTTTTAAAGCTTATGTTTACTACAATAGCACAGTATTACTAACTGTAGAAAAATTAGTATGAAAAATAAAATAACCCATTTTCTTGTCCCTTGTATGATCCATGTATGCTTTTTTTTTTTTTTTTTTTTTTTCACAATTGCAGTCAGGCCTGTGCCAGTCTCTGGCTTCACTGCACCTGGAAGTGTGCTGTGCTTTCCAATCAGACTGTAGGTCACCATAGAGAATGTCATACAGAACAAGGGCCTGGCAGGGTGTAGCATTTGATGTGAGGGAGCCAGCCTAGGCTTCTGAGAATCCATAGGCTCTGACCATCTCAAGGGTACACTTAGCAGTCCAGGCTCCCCCAGCCAGGTGACAGCTAAAATGGGCCAGAGTCTTAGCTGTAGACCCAAGTGGGCTGTAATGAGTTTCCTAGGCCCTGGCTATTGAAGCTTGAATCTTCCAGTAGCTGGGATCTGAAGGGCACAGTACAGTGTACAGGAGAGCAGGTATGCAGTTGCTCTGAACACCTGGCGCTGCCACAGGCCAGGCAGTTTCCTATATGTCTCTAGTGTGAATTAATGCTGATCCATACACAAGTTCCCCCTGTACATCATGGTGGCAGGCTGCCAGCACTGATTGATTTCATAAAAAGGAGACTACATACTTGACTCCAGAAGGGTGGAAGGGAACGGTTGGGGTGCAGCTCTGTAAAGGAAGGACAAGTAGCTGAAACTCTTGGGGTGCTCACAGTGTGCCCATAGTCCCAGTAGGCTTGGGGTTTCCCAAATGCACAGCATTTCAGGAAACCCAAGCTGAAGAAGGGTGGCTCACAGGGTAAGATGGGTTCTAAAGGGGAAAGGGATTCAAGAACCTGTGTGCAACAGGTTCTGCTTTGGGAGAGGGAGGGAAGCCCCCTGGCTGCTGTGGGAGAGGGAGGGATGCTGAGCAAACCTTAGGTGACTGTAAAGGTAGGTTCTGAGCACACTGAGGGTGCTGAAACCTCCAGGCTGCACTGCCCTCTGCTAAGCCGGCTAGGGAGGGGGCTGGCTTGGAAAACAATCCATGTCTCCTCTTTTTTGGGAACAGGATCCATTATGGGCTTAGCCTTGGGACTCAAAAGAATCTGCAAACAAGCTCACCACTTTGCAGTCTCAGGTCCTTCATAGGGTGGCAAGCCCTGGACGTTGCTCCAGAGGTGGAACTCTGACCTTTCTGGGAGGGATCCCCACATGGGATGCCCCACATCCAGAAAGTCCCCAACTGTGTGTGTGGCTTTATTGCCTCTGGTAGGGCAAGAATAATCTCTCACTTGGGTGAGTGGAGATGCCTGTCCACGACTAGAGGGAAGCCCCATGTCTGAAAAACTTGGAGTCCCTTGGAGGCCATGATTTCTCAGGGCAGGCACTCTGTCACATTCTCTTACCCCTCACTTCTGGTTTAACTTTATCGCCTTCAGGAGCCTGGTTCTGGAATGACGATATAGAGGACCACGAGGAGGAAGATGATGAGGACTTCCTGGCAGAGATGGCGGAGGAGGAGAACGAGCCACCAGGGCTATGGTCCGCGGCCTATGGCGTGGGGGATGTCCCTGGGACGTGGGGCCCTGACGATTCGGATTCAGCCCAGACTCCAGAGGAGTGGGGGCCGGACCCAGGCAGCCTTGGGGTCCTGGCGGAGGAATGTGAAGCAAAGCCCTTCCTACCTGGCCGGGAGCCAGGCTCGAACCTTCTGGCTCCCTGGTCGTTCCCCACTGCAGTGGCTGCCCCCACAGGGCGGCCTGAGACCACTTGCGATGTATGTGGCAAAGTATTCCCACACCGGTCGCGGCTGGCCAAGCATCAGCGCTACCACGCGGCTGTAAAGCCTTTTGGCTGCGACGAGTGTGGCAAGGGCTTTGTGTACCGCTCACACTTGGCCATCCATCAGCGCACACACACTGGCGAGAAGCCCTTCCCCTGCCCGGACTGCGGCAAGCGCTTTGTTTACAAGTCGCACTTGGTGACGCACCGGCGCATCCACACTGGCGAGCGGCCTTATCGATGCGCCTTCTGTGGCGCAGGCTTYGGACGCCGCTCTTACCTGGTGACACACCAGCGCACACACACGGGCGAGCGGCCCTACCCATGCCCACACTGCGGTCGCAGCTTCAGTCAGAGCTCCGCACTCGCGCGGCACCAGGCTGTCCACACAGCCGACAGGCCGCACTGCTGCCCTGACTGCGGCCAGGCTTTCCGCCTACGTGCCGACTTTCAGCGCCATCGGCGTGGTGGAGGCTGTACAGAACCCAGTGGTGACGGCCCGCGACAGGAGTCCAGTGAGGTGGCTGCCACAGTGGGGCCCGAGGAGCAGGAAGCTGGGCCAGAGGGGCCTGAGGAGCCTGAGGCCGTTGAAACAGATGGAGACCCCGAAGCGGAGGCTAGAGAGGAGGTGGCGGCAATAGCGGAGGCGCCTGCTCCGGAGAGCAAGAAAGACCCCGAGCCAGACAGGCGGTTCCTGGAGATGGGCAATGGCCTGGGGGAGGGCGAAGGCCCTTCCTCGCACCCACTTGGTTTCCACTTTCCTGTGCATCCCAAGTCTTGGCTCCACCCTGATGGCTTTCCCATCCTTGGCCTCCCAAACTTTGGAGAACGGCTRCCGGCAGACGGGCGTCCCTTGCAGGGACCTTTGGGAAGCCCGCTGTCCCTGGTGGAGGGCACAGGGCTGGCCTGCGACCCTTTTGGTGGCGGCAGTGGTGGAGGCGGTGGTGGCGGACTGCGTGCCTTTGGGCCCACGGTTGGAGGGCTACTGGCAGAGCCAGCGCCCGCCGCGTTGGCAGAGGAGGAGAGCCCGTGGATCTGCTCGGACTGTGGCAAGACTTTCGGGCGCCGTGCCGCGCTAGCCAAGCACCAGCGCTACCATGCGGGCGAGCGGCCTCACCGCTGTGCTGACTGTGGCAAGAGTTTCGTGTATGGCTCGCATCTGGCGCGTCACCGGCGCACGCACACGGGAGAGCGGCCCTTTCCATGCCCGGAGTGCGGGGCGCGCTTTGCCCGCGGCTCACACCTTGCAGCGCATGTGCGCGGCCACACTGGCGAGAAACCTTTTGTGTGTGGTGTGTGTGGTGCTGGCTTCAGTCGCCGCGCTCACCTGACGGCGCATGGGCGAGCACACACGGGCGAGCGACCCTATGCATGCGGTGAGTGCGGCCGGCGCTTTGGGCAGAGTGCCGCGCTGACACGGCACCAGTGGGCACACGCAGAGGAGAAGCCGCACCGCTGCCCCGACTGCGGCAAAGGCTTCGGCCACAGCTCGGACTTCAAGCGGCACCGGCGCACGCACACAGGAGAGAAGCCCTTCCGTTGCGCCGACTGCGGCCGCGGCTTCGCACAGCGTTCCAACCTGGCCAAGCACCGGCGTGGCCACACCGGCGAGCGGCCTTTCCCGTGCCCCGAGTGCGGCAAGCGCTTCTCACAGCGCTCGGTGCTCGTGACCCACCAGCGTACGCATACAGGCGAGCGACCCTACGCCTGTGCCAACTGCGGCCGCCGCTTCTCGCAGAGCTCGCACCTTCTTACTCACATGAAGACGCACCGTGGTGCGACAGGTGCGCCGGGGCAGGCAGCAGCGGCGGCCCCGGCGCCTAAGGCCGAGGCACCCACCAAGGGACTCTTGAGTGCTAATGCGAGTTCCGGGTCAGGGGAGCGCGGTAGCACCTTGCTGGAGTTCGCTGGTGGGACGAGCTTCGGCTCGGAGCCTGCGACTGCATTTGCGGGGCCCTCGGGTACCTATGAGGAAAGCATCATGTGAGGGGCCCAAGGCAGCAGGAAGTTCAACCCTCTAGGTCACCGGCCCCTCCCCTGGGCGGCTCGGGCGCAGGCTGCTACGGGCCTGCCCCTTACCCCTCTGGCCTAGGAGTGGGGCCGAGGGTTCCAGTCCTGGGTGCGGTGCCTTCCTTCAGCCCTGAGTGTACCGCCTTCCGCCCCACCGCCTCGGGTTTCTTTCCRCCGGGCCCCAGAGGAGGGCGCCGTTGCCCTGGAGCACGAATGGCTGTGTGGGGCGCGCTCCGGAGAGCACAGCAGCGAGTGGAGGCGGCCAGGGCTGGGGTCTGCCATCCCTGACAAAGACTGCAACATCTCTGGGTCTATGCTGCCAGGCAGGGTGGTAGGGATGGTGGGCGAGGCTATTTATTTTACTGGGATTCCAATTTGGGTGGCCCAGGTAAGTGACTTAGGAGTTTGTAACTGGGTTTTACATCGAGGTCGGAGAAGCCCTTGTGTTGGGGAGGGTGGGCTGGTCGAAGTAAGAGCATCCGGCTGCTGGGGTGGGTCAGTGTCAAGTCCTGTCTTCTGGGTTCAGCTGAGAACTTCTTTCATTCCTTAGTGGGAGATTCAGGGACCTTTCAGTGGTTTGTGTGTATCAGAAAGTTTTAAGAACTGCGTGGGTGACAAAAGGAAGCCTTATAGGTTTCCAAAGAACGGTGTTCCTCAATAATCCAGGGAGGAAATGGAAAAGCTTTGATTCTGTCGACTGTGGATATTTATTTCTGTCTCTTGTATGGCCTGAAGAATGTGGGAGGACAAAAAGCCAGAAACCAAATTTGTGGTCAGGGCTGACGGGTTATAGATATTCACAGGGTCCCCAGAGAGTTTGAAGCCTTATTCTCTAAAGTTGTTCACTCGCCTCACTCCACATCACTGAGATCAGCCAGGCGTTAGCCTTGGGTGGGTTTTGATCTCAGTTTCCCAAGTAAGTCCTTTGGTCCTCCCACCTCTGGCAGCTGGAGATGGCACACTCAGACATCCTTGGGACACCCCATTCAGGCTCTTACACACCTGGGTCCTAGCTTTCAATTCTCCCAGCTGCCACGTCTCCTGGAGCAGGGGGATACATGGAGACCTGCCCTTCTGAGTCCAGTGCTCATTTATATTAAAGCACTGAGATTGGTCCAAGGACCTTCCCCATGTCCCATACTTAGGGCCCTACAACCTTCACATGTCCCTTTAACTTTGCTTCAGTCATTCTACACTAGAAACGAGTAGTGTTTCTGTCTAGATTCACATTTCACAGATGGGTCAGTGGAAGCACTGAGGGTTTGGTGGCTTGCACAGTGGCTGCCCACAGGGTGTGGACCTGAGCCCCTAGCTCAGTGATAAACTAAGTACCCCACTATGCAAGGCCCCTGCCTGGTGGATGCCTCACCCTCTAGACTGGACTGTTGGAAGCCACTGGGCAACAGCTGAGACACTTCTCATGTGAGGCCCCCTCCCTTTGTGCTTTTTGGGCCARTGTGATTGGGGCCAGAGAACTGAGATTTTTAAAGTGACTGCATTCCCTTAGACCTAGTTCCTTCTGTTTTAGTGTAGACAGGCCTCAGGGGCTGAGAGCCAGCAGCCAGGCTGCTAGGGGCTGGGTGGGGTAGGAGGCGTCGTAGTTGGTGGGTGGGAAAGGGCCTGGGTAGTGGTGGTAAGAACTAGCCTGGCCGGAGTGAGGTGGTGGGGTGGGGTGGTGAGGAGGATAAGGGTCCCAGGGAGGGACATAAGCAATGGCCTCTCTGTTCCAGGTTTCTTCTCTCCCCATGTCTTCTGGGACATGAGCCTCAGGAAGGGTCAAAGGCTGGAGGAGGTAGGGGTTGGGGGTGTCTCTGACCTTGCCCTAGTGGCCAGGGCCTGGCACTGTGCCCATCCCTCCCAAGCCCCAGCTGCTTCTGCCCTGCCTGAGCTGTCTGCAGGAAGACCTAGCTTTAATAAAGAGTGGAGAAACGAGCTTTCTGCCTGGACTCTGTGCTGTTGCCGCTCTTTGGTGCCCATCAGGGATGCTCCATGAGGCCTCAGGCCCATCTTATTTCTACAAACATTTTTTAGTTTTCTTTTAAGAAACTAGAATTGGTCCCAGGATGGCACATGAGGATCTGCTCAAGATGAATTTGTTCCTGTGTTGCCTATATGCAAGTCTTGCTGGGGCTCCCCTACACAGCCACACACTTGTAATACATACACCTATCATGGAGCATTACTGTGTTTKCGGTTGTTTTGGACAGCCTCCCAGTGATCAAAGAAAGGGGCCAGGACCCCTTCCTGGTAGTCCAGACCCATGCCTGGGCCTTTCCTCCAGCCACAGCTCCACCTTCCAGGTTTATCGAGGGTTCCATTATCATAGGCTAGGTGTATCCTTAGGTCCCCAAAACACCTTCCTTATTTATTCTCACCACACAGTATCCCAGTGATCAGATTGTACTTTCCCTATGGACTTGAAAAAACAGAAGCTATGAAGTGAGTTTTATGTACATGCCTGTGGTTTACAAAGTCAGGCATGATGGTGCACACCTGTAATCCAAGCTACACAGGAGGCTGAGATAGAAGGATCACAAGTTCGAGGCCAGCCTGTGTAACATAGTGAAGATCTGGTCTCCGGACAAAATMAAAACCCAAAATATGATTTGGAGGTATCAGAACAGAGCAACCTAATATGTCAATTGGGGGGAAAAAGGCTTTTGCATGGTATATGAATGCCAAATCCTAGTTAAAATTGGATAGGTTTTTGAATTTCAAAGTCCATTTTGAAAAGCTAAATATTTTCAATAAATCTTACAACAGATTGTCTAATCAAATACCTTTTTAATTTATGAGGGGAGGATACCAATCTAATGATCATAGAAAAACAGTAGACACCCTTTGTTATAAGGAGGAGTGGAGCCCCAGTGACCTGTGAAATGTGACCTGCTAAAGTGACACCGCCATCTCTGCCATCCTCTTGCTGCTTCTCTCTTGCCCCTTTTCCCCAGCCACCTTCTTTTTCTGGTTCCTTTTTTCCTGACTTTTCTACTTTATCTCTTCAAACATTTCCTTCTCTCTCACACTCTTTTTCTTTCTCCTAACTGGTTACATATGGAATACAGTATTTTGAAATTTTGGGTTATATCTACTAAATATTTATCATCCTTGTTCATTATTAATTTTTTCCAGATTATGAAACACATGCTAGTTGTAGAAATTTCATTAGTACAAAAAGTCAAGTACAGCTGGGCGAGGTGGCGCACACCAGTAATCCCAGTGGCTTGAGAGGCTGAGACAGGAGGATCGCAGGTTCAAGGTCAGCCTCAGCAACTGCCAGGCGCTAAGCAATTCAGTGAAACCCTGTCTCTAAATAAAATACAAAATAGGGCTGGGTATGTAGCTCAGTGGTTGAGTGTTCCTGAGTTCAATCCCTAGTAGTAAAAAAAGAAAGAAAGAAAGAAAAAGTATACCTTCTTCATTTACTGAGAGGCAGTCACACATGCTGAGCCCATTTCTTCTGTGTATGTGGAAATAGCTTAAAATTAGAAACATTTTATGTATTTTCTGGCAGCTTGCTTTTATTTTTTCCATTTAAAACTATCTCACGGACATTCTTTTCTTACCCAACAGAGAGCTACCCCATTCATTTTACCCATTTTATCAGCATTTCATCCCAAGGATGTACCAAATTTAACTACTCCTTGATTAGTGGGTATTYGGTTGTTTCCAACTTTCCATAACTTCAATGCTGCAGCGTGGGTTGTTTTTATTATTTTTATTTTTTTGGTATCTGGGATTGAACTTGGGGGCACTCAAACACTGAGCTACACCCCCAGCCCTATTTTGTATTTTTATTTAGAGACAGGATCTTACTGAGTTGCTTAGTGCCTCACTTTTGCTGAGGCTGGCTTTGAACCTGYGATCCTCCTGTCTCAGCCTCTTGAACTTGAGGTCGTCCTGCCTGAGCCTCAGGAGCCTCTGGGATTACAGGTGTGTGTCACCCTGCCTGGCAGGGGTTATTTGCATATATCTTTGTGAACTTATGTAAACTGTAAATTTATGTGTTTATATGAGCTCAAACCTTAGAAGTGATACTGCTGGGCCAAAGAACATGCATAAATGAAGTTTTTGGATATAGCTAAATTTCTACCAAAAAGGGTTCAGTCCAGCCTAGGGGGGCACTGCAAATGCGCTAGTGGCTCCTGGCCTCCCTGACTATGGGCACCAACAATGATTTTAATTTTTGATTTGTTCTCCATTTTATAGAGAGATGAGTACCTTTAATTATTCCTTTTAAACAAATAAGTTATTGTTAAGACTCACGGTCTTTGCTGTTGTATTTCTGTGGCTGCTGACATATAAAATATCCCCACCCAGTCTAGAGTCGTTTATCTCCRATCATGGTTCTTGCTATTTCTGTTTTGGTGTCCTGTGCTTCCTGCTGCAGCATCTCCCTCAGTTCCCAAGGGGATCCTGAATCAGATGATGGACCAATAGGAAGTCCCGTTTCCTTCTGTTTACCTCTTGTTAATTCAGCAAAATCCCTGAACCCCTACCTAAGGAGAGTACCATGGTGGAGTTCCACAGTATGGCCATTCAGGGAGCATGTTTAATGCCCTCAAGCCCAAGTCCATGAAAACATTCTCATTCTCTAGCAATTTCAAAACTTCTGATTAGCAACCCAGTGAGAAACCCATTTTACATCATTGTGAATTAATGAATGTGTAGACATGTGCACATATGGACACACTTAATAAACCAATAATTTTTTTGGTGGAATTTTTATTCCACCTCAACTTATTTCATCTTTAGTATAAAGTGCTCATCTCAACTCATAAATCATRACATGCATTGTAAAGACCATAAGTTGAATTTCTTTTTTTTAACTGCAGCCCATCAACCCCCTTTCTGAGTGGCAGCTCTGGTAAGAGAGGCTGGCTCTCTGCATCAAAAGCTGTGGTCCAGAAGCCCTACTATCTGTCTGCATCTAAGGATGCTGGGAAAGGGGTGGCCGGGACAGCATGCCTCCCCATAGGCCCAGAGGCTCCTYCTTCCTCCAGAGGCTCAGTATCAGGGTGGCTGCTAGGAATTCAGGGCTCACTCTTCCCTATTGTCCTTCTCCCCATTAGGTTCCCTTCAGAGGGAGAAATACCAGGAGAGGCAATAATACCTGCTCAGTGCCTGTGTCCCAGGCACTGCCCTGAAACTTTATGTTCATTAATTCCATTTAATCCTTACAAGAAATCTATTACTTACATTCCCACTTTTCAGATGAGGAAACTGAGGCATAGAAAGGCTCTGTCACCTGCCCAAGGCTTGCATGGTGTGACTCTAGCATGCCTATGGGCACTTATGAAGGTGCTTTAGGGGTGGCCGTGCAAAGGCCAGGCATGGTATTGGAGCACACACAGGAGCCTGTGCAGCTGGGCTGGCTGCTTGCTGCAGGTGTGTGGCTCTAGCTCTGGACAGTGGTAGAAGAAGGGGGTTAGAATCTGTGTCTTGCCCATTGTATCAGTTACTTCTGTTGTGTTATAAAAAAACGCTCTCCCAACACATACCCACGTGGTGTTTAACACAACCATTTTGTTATGCCTCTGGTTATTCAGGGGCTCAGGAATTCAGATGACCACAGCATGGATGGCTTTTCTCTGCTCCTTGACTTCTGGGAACTCGGCTGGTAAGGGACTTGACAGTTGGAATCACTGCCTGGAACTTGCGGCAGGAATTTAGGACTGCCCACTGGCATATTCACAGGTAGCTTCCCTGTGTGGTGTGGTTTCTTCGCAGCATGGTGGCCTTGGAGTGGGTGGATTTCTTATATGGCAGTCCTGAGATCAGGGAAGTTCCCACAAACAAAGCAGAGGCTTCATGGTCCTTTTTGACTTCATCTTGAAGTCATAGACTGATACTCCCACCATGTTCTACTGCTTGAAGCTGATTTAAGGGAAGGGACACAGATGCTCCAGTGGTCATTGGCAGGAATGCCCAAGAATTTCATGGTTGTTRTTATTCTCTTTTTTGGGGCTTGGGGGCTTGGGATTKAACTCAGGGACACTTGACCACTGAGCCATATCCCCAGCCCTATTTTGTATTTTATTTAGAGACAGAGTCTCTCTAAGATGCTTAGTGCCTTGCTCTTGCTGAGGCTGGTTTTGAACATGAGATCCTCCTGCCTCAGCCTCCAAAGCCACTGGGATTACAGGTGTGTGCTGCAGTGCCAGTGCCTGGCCCATGGTTATTATTTTTAACTGCCATATCTGTCATTCCTCAAATGGGTGTTAGCTGCCTAAAATAAACTGATCTTCATTTGGGTTTTTAGGGGGCCCTCAGCAGAATGGCTGGCTCCTCCTTTATCAGGAAGGGGCAACCCCCAAACCACCACATATTTCTGCTGTACAGAAGTGAACCACCGAAGCACACAGAAGAGTGATAGGAGAGGAAGTAGAGATAATTCAGGAAACAGAAGAGAACCCTAGAAACTAAGAAATTAATCTTCCAAGATTTATTAAGACATTGTAAAAATAGGGACTGAGTGTTGGGAAAAATGGAAACAAGAGAACAAGAAACAAAAACTTAGAAATTAAATGAAAAGAAAGACAATGGAAAAGACAAAGTTTAGAAGGTAATGTTTGTCTCTTACACTACAGAGCAAACAAAGGAAAGAGGCAGAGATAATGACACAGGATTAATATAAGAATTTCCACACTCATCTAATAGGAATTCCGGGAAGAAAAAAAAATGCACATGTAGGTTGGGGAATGAATACAGGAAAACTCAGGCTTGATGGACAAAGTTCTGAACAACGAAAGTGTCATGAAGTGTTAGCGAGTTGGGGGAAGATCAGTTCCTAGACACATTCTCTTGAAAATCCAGAACAATGGGAGAGAAGATTCTTCAAGCTTCTAGAGAGGACACAATCAGTCAACTGCAGAGGAACAGGGTAAGACTGGCCTTATATTCACCATTAGCACAACATGGAACAAAATG